GAGGACATTGGACCGGCAATGGAGCATTTTGATTGGCTGATTTTCGTTATTGGCCCTCTGACTGTCCGAGTCGTGTAATAAAAGTTATTATTGGGGAGTTTGTCAACTATCACCTATCCTTGGTAGATCCAGAGATGTACATCCAGAACCCTAATCCAAACCTTAACCCAGGAAATCGACGAGTATAGGGTAGGAGTATATGGAGTATAAATAAAGAAACAAAACAAAAACCTATATCCAGCGTCGGGTAATTCGGGATAAATCTTTATATCGATCAATAATATTCTTAGGTTCATTTAGGGCTATGTATCTTGTTATTTATTGTTTTACTTTAGCACTTTGGGTATGCATTGTTTATGTTTCTTGTTCTACTTATATGGTCACGTACTAGCGAAGGAATCAGTTCTTTGATTTTGACGGTTCAAAGGCGCCGAGTCTGAAAGGGACATAACAGTCATTGAATGACTGAAAAAATAATGCTCTTTTATGAGAAGGTTTTGCTAGGATTTTAGTGCATTATCCTTTTTTTCCAAGCTGAGATGATCCTTCTCAAGGTTTTGCAAATCCTCAGTGGTTCATGAAGTGAACAATGATTTTACGTGAAACATTGTGGTGACAAAACTTCTTCTAGATTCTCCCTTATTGTCTCCCGTCATGGAATACTTAGAAAACCTACTCCATGTATTTCTGCCTAAGGTAGTCAAAGGCTTCCTCTAGGCAACTCGCTTGGTAAAACACTAAAGCTATGTTTGACAGAGAGCATGAGCTTTCGCCCAATAGAAAGAATTGGATCATTCTGCAATTTTAATTTTTCGGCGTTAGAGAAAACGTTTCTAGTTGTTTGGTTTTCTCTTTTTCAGATACATTTATGCGTTTAGACGGGTGCGATATAAAAAATAAAGGAAAGACCAATCAACACGCCTGGCAGAGAGCGAACAACTGCCGTGAAGGACAAAGATCGTACACTAGTGTCTCAGAGAATGAGGTGATAACAGAAATCCAAGCCAAAATTATAAATAATATTTTAGGAATCGTAGTATGCCGAAGCTATTATTGAGTGCTGAAGTACGTTTCAGTTTGGAGGAGGACAATTCACATTTTGTTTTCAGATGGTCGGCCTCTGCAATTACGTAAACGGCAGTATATAGATATGTAGCTGCGATGAAACATAGTAAACAAAAACACGATTTCGGCTACGGTTTAATGCGAAAAACTTTCCTTAACAACAACGGTTACACTACTTCTCCACTCGAACTAATACCCTGCTTCACTTCCAACCATATGCTCACTCTTCTCCTCTAAAACTGTCAATCAAAAAAACTAAACCCGAAGATTATGCAACAAGACTGAAATCTGATGATTATGATGTAACATCCTGAATTGCGTGACGTGTCACTAGTCTTAAAAGGTCTCTTATCCAAGATATTTTGCGTACACAGATCACTGTTTTGATGTTTAAGGAATTTTCATCGGGTTTTGGGTTAGTTACGGCAAAACACTCACGTTATTTCATTAATCAGAGCCCTCTTTGACGCCAATTTCATATCAACTGCTAGTGCTTATGAGTTTGAATTTGGCAAAAACTTCCAAATTAAAGCGAAAATTGAGGACGGCAAATCGGAATCATGACAATTTAAGGTAACTTCGTTCCTTGCATCCAATACTTTAGACTGAGATTCGTAGACTGGATGCTCTTTTGAGTCATAGCTGCTTTTTTCTCGAAGCGTAACAAATGGGAAATTTCGTTTCTTTACAAGAGATCCAAGAATCTAGCCGTGTACCAACTTTATCTATAACCGAGCGACAAAATTGAAAACTTACTTAACTCACCATTCAGTTCAAATATGATAGCCACTTGTTCTTTTATCAAGTTCAGTTTTGAGGTTTTTGTGATCTCCAACTATTATTCCTTATTCGTTTCAGCATGAGTTTAAGATTTTTTTCCAGCCTAACGTTGTGGTTAATTCAGTTCTTTAGTTGAACAGTAATTAAAAGAGTTTAGACTCTCTCACGGCAACAAAAGGATAATAATCATTCTCACCTACGTCACCAGTTATCAACCCTCGCCTGCGTAAAATAACCCCTGTTGAGTCCACTATGTAGCCTGTCGTACATATTAAAAGTAGCATTCTGAGGGTACGCAAGGACTTACATGAAAATGTCACGACTAAATTTTCCCATGCTTATGGCTATGGACCTACGCTGCGCGCGCCCCGCTACTAGCCTATCAAAAGTAAAATGCAAACTGACTTAAAAACTTGGTTTTCGGCCCAGTTTCCCAGATTTTCAATTGCAGTTTGGGGTGGCTAAAATGGTCGACGACAGATGGCTGTTCAACAAGCCAACTCACAAGGTATGCGTCATTGGGTTAAACGTGTCTCGTGTTCAACTTGATATCTCACTCATTCGCAGCGCTCACCTGTGAGCCAATGAGTTGAACACTCGAAGAGAAATTCCATATCTATGCACGCCAATGTATTGTTCTCTATGTATCTCAGGTAAGGAAAGCAGAGTTCGGGTAACTTACAGACAGGTTGCCTTGCAACTCATCTTTTACCAAATTTTACCAAGAGGCAAGTTACTATAGCACGTTATAGCACATCTAGTAACAACCTTTCATGTTTGCTGACCTACAGAGGATATTACATGAACGCGCGGAGATACAAGATCTTTCTTCGAGTTGAGAAATATTTCACGAGTGAGCGAAGCGAACAAGTGAAATATCTTTCAGCACGAGAGAAATGTCGTATCTTCAAGCGGCCTACTAATATACTAATATACTATTTATGATATAAACACAAACGAAAAACCAAACAAGTTCACTCTCGCTACGAAAGGTGCTAGTTAATATGTAAACGCCTCCCGGTTAGCTCAATTTTACAGCTCAACAGGGCCGGACTGTTGTGCGAGAAGTCGACGGTTGGAGCCCCGGCCGCACCAACACTCAAGGTCTTAAAATAACTGGGGAGAATGTGCTACCTTTCTATAATATCAAGAAATGGATAGAAATTCTAGTCTTCTCGGATAAGGACGAATAAACCGTAGGTCCCGTCTCCTGCATCTATTAATTAGTTAATTTGGTTAAGCAGGGGGCGTTAAGGAAAGCACTCAGGAGATTACTGTGATGTGATCTGGCCTTTTTACTGGGGATTGGTGGGGGNCTTCTTCTTCTTCTTCTTCTTCTTCTCCTTCTTCTTCTTCTTCTTCTTCTTCTTCTTCTTCTTCTTCTCCTTCTTCTCCTTTTTCTCCTTCTTCTCCTTCTTCTCCTCCTTCTCCTTCTTCTTCTTCTTCTTCTTCTTCTTATTATTATTATTATTGTTATTATCATTATTATTATTATTATATTAACGGTGTGAAGATAACATTGTTTTCACGTGTGAAGATATCACGTTTTCGCGCGCATGCTCACCTGGTATTTCATTGGTGTTTATAAAATAAAAAACATTTATACTTTACAGTGGGGTCTCATGCTAGGCTTGAGCCTTTATACCGGAAAAATGGTTTGGTACTATGCCCTAATGCAGCTGTTTTGCAGAGATAACTGCCACACAAAGCATGAAGTGAAGCAAATTTTCACCATGTCACCTAAATAAACTAAATTCACTAAACCAACTAAACAGAAATTTACATAAAAAATGTACTTCTACTTTATTTTTGTTAAGTTTTTACGACGGTATCAATTCACATCTTTGAAAACTATAAGCCTCAGACATAATACGCGCTAAAACTAGAACAATACAAACACTACCCAAAAGGACAAAATGGTCAGTCTTCAGGATCTTGATGATAGTAATGGAAATTACCAAATCCTTTCGTTCTACTCTCCTCTCTAAAACAAAGACTAGACTTTTGTATCGTTGAAATTTTGGCAGACACTCGTTTTCCTCTTGAGTACTAAGGCAATCCACGGAAAGGGACACTGCACTCTCCATGTCTCTCTCTAGTCTGGTTTCTGTAGAGATTCCACAGGATGAGCATTGAGAAACGCACGAATGTGTTTGTTCACATCCACATAACCATCGACTTGAACCCAGTGAGTTGCTCCGTCAACGTATCTGTAAAAATTGAGAACAATTCTTAAGCTTCCGCTGCATTTTACTAATCGAACACTTTCTAGCTAATGAATTTGTCAACTCTGACAATTAAGTTTCGCTACATTACGAATCGATTTTTTGGGAGAAGTAACATGTTAACCATTTGTGGTCCGAATAATCAGTCCACGCTTAAATGACAATGGCTCATTCTTCAGTACGAATCACTACCTCATAAAAAAAGAAACAGCTTTCTTTGATGTTATATACGTATTGACAATTCACATTTTACATATATTACTCCTGATGCGCGAGCTAGAATATATCCACACACTTGTTTGAAGCGCAGCCATTCGTTCGTTATCAGGAGCGTATGATCGTTCATATAAGCAATAGGTCTCTGTTTGTATGTTTCTTTGATTCTGTCTGCAGTCTGATAGTTAGTGAGCAGGACTCCGGATCGTGAGTTGCGGGCTACAGCCCTGGGTGGGTCAAATGGCCAAGAAATTAACCGTTAAGGGTCAAGGAAGATTTAAACGTCACCCGTCAATGCTGAACATCAATAGGTAGTCATCGCATCTCTCAAATACTCCTGATCAACGACTTTAAAAAATTGCGTTCGGGAGCAAGTAGCACTTAGGTCCTGTTTTAAATGATACAACCCCATTGAGACCCTCATCCACTTCATGCTATGGAAACCGGAATAAGCTCAGCCCGCTGTGATGGGCCAACCAAAGTTAACAATGGGCCAACCAAAGTAACACTACAAACCAAAGTCTTACTTGATCGTCAAGTCTTCCACAAAATCTTCGGTTCCTGTTAACGTTTCCACCAATAAAGCCATGTCTTCTTTTCCCTAGAATGCAAAGAATATCAAGGCGATCATTTTTAAGTCCAGCTGATATAAAAACACAAAGGATAAGGAAAAGTTTAATTAGTCCAAGGTGTTGTCAGTTATCTACGATGGACAGCATATAATTTCACTAGTGTGGATAAATCATTGCGTCAGTTATGTTGTAAAGAATCAACCAGAGAACTAGTCTGTAAAGACCAATGCTTTGTATCAAAAAGCTATTACGCCTGGGAAATAAATTTCTTCTTCACTATGCTGTGCATGTATGTCTTATATGTTCTCATTTACAACACAACTTAGACACAACGTGCGCTCTGATTGGCCAAAACCCTATTGTAGATTGACCTGTATACCCATAGAAAACTGTAACATCACGTCCTATGAAATGGCGCCACGCGTGGCAAATTTTCAGATTTAAATTTTTAAAGCCTTTTGGTTTGGAGGAAACGAAGAGGACACTTTGAACGCCAAAAAAAAAAAAAAAAGACAAAGGTTTTATTTTTCTAACATTATCAAATGTTTTATTTAAAATGCAGTTCAACTCCGTTTTACGCCTTTATTTTCTGTTGCGCGGTTTAAGTGAAAGAACTTCAGAAATTCTCGACTAAAATTCCTGCCAGTTCAAACTGTTCGCCGGGAAGTAAACGTTGCCGTGTTTGTGCTACAAGAAAATTGTAGTAACAAACTAACTGGATTTTCTTTTCGATATTTCCTAGAAATCATATTTACATGAAAACAGGAAACCACTTGTAGAGCGAGTGTGCACGCAAGATTCTTGGCAAATGCGTTTGCTATCCGCGATTTCAGCTTTAATTTTTTAGTTCTTACCAAGTTTAAGCGTTTTGAGGACTTTTATAAATTTTAACGAGGACTCCATGAAAGTTTATTTCAAGCTGAGGCAATAGAAACAAATTTGGTTAGAAGAAAAGAGTGCAACGCGAGTAAAGAGGATAGCTATATAAACCAATGCATTGGCATATTTCCTACTGTTTTTCATTTGAATAAACAGGCAGACAATTATCAATTTTGCAGAAAATGCGAGCAAAAAATCTTTTTCCAGTTGAGATCAGAAATCACACCCAAAATTATTGAGAAAATGTATGTTCAGTTTGAACCACTTACCCAAACCACAAGGGTTGGAGCCTTGATCTTGGAGCGCCAGTATCCGTGAGGCAAATCTTGGTAAGAAAACGCAGCTCTGTAGTAGTTTAAGGGACCACTACACCCCGACTGACACAAAGCATACTTGTATCCCTCTACATCTTCTTCAGTGAAATTTTTTATATTCTGATGAGCAAAAATAAAAAGCACACAACAGTTGTGGTTGTTAAAAGTCCTATAAGGAAACACTCAGGGATGAGAATAAGTTGGATAAAGATGGAGTTTGGGTTTGATGACACCTGGAACTTCTAATGAGTGTTTTCTATGTATTAGTCCTTATGGAGAAATTCCTTCATATATTCAACAAATTGCAGAGATTCTTCCCTATTAAAACAAGGGACTGGGCGCCCTCTATAGGTCCTGTTTAAATGGCGATCCATCTAAAGTTCTTTTTAGATTTAATTAACGGATCTTAAAGTACTATAAGGGGGCAATATAAGAAAGCCAATCAGATAAGAGTATTTTATACCACGTGGTACAGATGAACCACTCATATGTTGGGATTGGCATCCAAAATGGTGTGGTGCCAATATTCTTCTGTATATAGTGCCCCCGTGAACTACTTGTGATCTCTATAGGAATAACGTTACTTAGAATTGGTGTTGTTTGAACATTTTCAATGGCCCACAACAGATATGTTAGATTAGAATACAAAGTGGAATTTATCACCTTAAACACCTCATCATAGACTTTAAAGTCATCCATTTCAATTATGTACTCTGGAAGGTAAGGCAACTGAAAGAGGTACATGTACTGCAAAAGAAAAAAAAACAGATTGGAAAACTTTAGCAAATTACAGGTCTTACACTGGGGTGTGGCACCACTCTGATTTCTGTCAATATCTGCATTTATCATTCCCCTATTACACCATTTCCAGAAAATTATCAGGACAATGAAATGCATAAAATATGCCATGGTATTTATATTGTAGAACAGGGAAGAAATACGTCAAAAGCAACATTTTAGCTGCACTGAACTATAAAAACGCTTCATTTTCCTTTCGTGCTGAATTTTTAAGTACGTCAGATGTTTTTGGTGGTTATAAAGAATACTTTCTAGGTTTCGTTTTTGTTTTCTTCATTCTTTCATTGTGTGATCAACAGCATGCTCAGGTAATGCCATATTTGAATACCAGAAGCCAAAATACATAACAGTGGAATACTGGTGGAGTAATAACTCTACTGTTTTGTGGACGCACCTACTGGGAAAGAATATAGTATAACTAAGAATTGTGTTTTTGCTCTGTTTAGTTATGATACAGTACATATAATATCAATACTGCAAGTTATACTTAGGTTGTAAAGAAAACAAATAAACTCTCTCACCCAGGAAGCACGGAATTGTTTTCTGGATGTCTGCAAACACTTTACAAAGCATCTGAATAGAAAATAATGAAAAGAAATGAATGTTGTTGTTATCGTGTTTAAGCCATGGCTGTTCATTATATATTTATGTTAAGGGAGTCTTATCAGAAAATATATAAAATGGTACAAAATCTACAGGGACAGACTGTTAATTGCTTGTAGGCCATTCTTTTGGCAAACATTTCCTACAAAATGATGCATTTCTATTCATAACAGACAAATAAATTGAGTGCCAAAGATTTTTTTTAAAAAAACTGGATGATCATTTTGTAGCTAGAATTCTAACAGCACATACATTGGGTGTGGAATGTTGCACACAATCAGCCTGTCAACAAATTCAGGGTGAATGTGAGTGAAACTCCTGAAAGAAATAAACATAATTAAATTCGACATGAAAATGAGCAAAATAAGCATACATTTTGTAGATAATTTAAGCCATATATACCATTTCATAAGAACACTTCCAGGAGTGCAATCAAGAAATGTCAAGATTAACATTTAGATGTCTAAGAGTGACTGGCATCTAATTTCTCCACACAATGTCATCTCTAGATCACACATTAAGGTCACAAGAATAAAGGAAAATAACGTCAACGAGATTAAGCAGCACATTGGCATCATTCCTCAAACCAAATACCTAAAGGGTTACAGGACGGGCTAGAATTTATCAATATAAAGACCAGCTCAGTTGCAAAAATCATCAGCTCCTTTAACCCTTCCACTCCTAAGATCAAATGAGTAATTCTCCTCATTGTCTGCCATACAATTCTTATGATGCTAGATCAGAGAATTTGGCATTTGTTTGACTAATAATCCCCTAATTGGTTTTTTTCCTATATTCTCATCACTTGTCTGCTTGATATTGTATTGATATTGTAAGGAGAAATTCTGTCTTGGTCATAAGATTTAATGCAGATCTCTTCAACTCATTGGAACGATTGCACTGTAGGGCAGCGAGGATAACTTTTAATTTACCTAAGGACAGAGATCATTGGAAGTGTGAAGACAAGCTGATTGCCATCCACTGAGCTATAGTTAGAAGTAAGTTCTGTTAAAGCTAATGTACAAAGCACTTCATGATAAGCTCCCACTAGTGCTATCCAATAATATTATGACGAAATGTCCTACAGGTTACTCTTTACGAATGTCAAACTCCTTAGCAGAGCCACATTTCAGCTCTATTTATGGTAAAAACTCTACTGCTTACAGAGGCCTTGTATTATGGAATATTTTAATTTCTAAGGATAAAACTATTCCTAAGACAAGTTATCAAAACCTGAAGAAGAAAGTAGTAGTAGTAGTAGTAGTAGTGAACTTTACTTATGTCATGAAAACCTAGCGCATAGCACTAATTAGGGACACACTTATTGGGGACACACTAATTGAAAACCCGTTCAATGGATATTTTTAAAGAGTTGACCTTTAAAGAGACCTCTACAACAACCACAAATTTTAGACATAAAGATTTCCATTATATTCAGGTTACATCATAGCTTTTAAGAATTTAATTTTTAGATAGTTTGATATTGTTACTTATTATGTACGTATTTTGTTCTTAGGTTTAGTATTTATGCACGACCCCATAAGCTGCATAGCTTTTTTACCATCATGCTAAAATAAACAGAGTCTGTCTGTCTGTCTGTCTGTCTCCTCTCTAACCCTGCCAAATATCCTTTTAAACAATCAGAGAGAATAATACAAAAACCATAGAAATTCTTAAGTGCTCATTGGCTGAGAGCCATTGTCAAAAAGGCAATTGATCACAACCAAAAATGTAAGGTAACACCTAGCAATCACAGATAAAGCACTCAGCTCACTTAAGTTTTGATTATTGATGACATCATTTCTATGATCAACAACACCAGTGAACTGAAACAAATTATCTTCACCTTTTCTTGAGGTAAGTATTGAAGAGTAGAGACAGGTACTTGCTTAACATTTCTTCTATGATTTAATGGATTTTAGTATAATTGTTAAATATGAGTCACCACTATTATAGCTTGAGCAACAGATTGTTCCACATTAAGCATGTAACCTTAGTTTTAACCCACATTTCCAGGTAAAATGCACAACTCATATTCACAAACATTTACAGAAAAGAACTATTTTTGACAAATAAATCATAAAATATGCATTCCTTACCAAGCAATGGAACCTCCCCAATCGTGGGCAAGCAACACACACGAACTGTAGCCCAGAGCCTCAATCTGCGGATACAAATATCCATCCATACATATAAAAGGCATCAAGACAGAATTATACACAGCCATTACAGCAAAGTAACACTAGTATGTGAAAAGAAGTTGTAAGTACAAGGAGGGGCATGCCAAGCGTACTAACAAGCCTTTGCACAGGGAGTAATGTCACCTGCCTAAAACTCCATTGAACTGGTACATTATAAGTGAATGAAACAAGAGGCAATTTTAAGGAAATGCCACACTTTAATAAAACAATTAAACTATGCAGAAAAGATAATTAATGTTAATTACACTTCAGAGTCACAAGTTAAAGCTAATACAAGTATCTTACTCTGCTAGTACCGTCAGTTGATACACTTGGTACAGCCATGAGTGCACGATCTAAGTTTAAAGTAAGCTGTCACACAAACTCCCAGCACAGATTCAATCCAAGTGTATCTTGCAATCTTAAGACATGAATACCTGTATCTTTTTAAAAAAAAGACCCAAACTATTTAAAATTGATATTTGTTGGCTGTAAATTAGCTTTCCTATCTTTATCAACATTATTATAATCATTGCAATCATTTATTAATATCACCGTTGTTGTTATCATTATTTAAGAGTAACCATTAACTCTACATTCAACATACCACTTCTTTCACATCATTCACTAAGTATGAACCCTTGTACTGGTCCTTTCCTATTGGATGATCACTTTCTCCATAACCCCTAAAAATGAGAGAAGCCATTGAGCACCAATGTAAAGTTGCACTCAGCACATTTGGCAATTATCTATCTCTACTAGGCCTTAATTGACCCTAACTATAAATTCAAAACAAGTTTCCTAGAGCAATAATTATAATAATAAAAATCCATGTAAAAGTAGTTTTCCTTGAAAGGGGACGTTTAGTCCTTTGAGAGTGACTAAAAACTAACTTCTCCTACTGAGAATATCAACTGGTAGATATCATTTCACTCAGCACCAAATTTTTAAAAGTAAAACTACAGCCAACATTTAGCAGCCAGCAAGGGGAATAAGTATTAAAATCTTGGGAGTAAAAGGGTTGGAAGCCAAAGCACTCCAAACTGCAGCTCTTTTGGTTTCCTTGGCAGGTGGATAAAATTAGGCTGACACGTTTGAAGCTCAATCAAGTCACCAATTTGGCAGCCTGGTAGTTATGAAACAAATTATATTGCAATATGATTGTTTATAAAAGCTTACGTAAGTAAATAAAAAACATCAACACTCCATTGTTTTCTATTGAAACAAATTGGTCTCTTTCCCCTTCCTGTAGTTTTTCCATTATCAAGCCTTAAAGGATGTCAGGTGACAATAAAAAAATTATTGCTTACCTGTACTTTATCTTATCTAGAAACTATACACAGATTTAAGGTCATCATATATTGTGGTTGAAAAAAGTTGAGCGATGAGCCCAGTCTGAAAAAATTATTTGGTGGGTCTTAATTAACAACCCTAAATTACCCTTTAAAATATTCAAAAATATATCTGGCCATATAATTGGAACAGTAATTATCATCATCATAACTGTAACGATATCACATAGACATGCAGAGCAAATAGTAATAGCTCTTTTAACAACTATGTATTGTTCACAAAGAAGCTGACTACAATAAAATCAAAAAGCATTTGCTTGATACTGCAAGTATTTACTTCCCTTTGATCAAAAAACAGTTACAAATCTACAATCACAAGAACTACAAAACATTGTCACTGATTATAGTTTTCACTTTCATTCAATTCAATGAACTTAATTTAAAATTAACTAATGATTTATTATAGAATTTAACAATTTTTAACAATATACCTCATATCTACTGCAACAACCCTGTAGTCATCACTGAAAGCTTTCAACTGATATCGCCACGAATACCAAAACTACAAATTCAAATCAACATGTTTAGCACAAAAACAGTATTTAAAAAATAGAAAATGATAACTGCTATACAGAAATGAAATTTCATTGCTGCTTATCGTGTACAGTACAATGTACCTGCATCACAATTATGTTTACACACCTATTGTGTATTCCAAGCACTCATATTTGTAGACCAAATAATGGGGGTACTACAGTGACAGTAGATTAATAATGCTGAGCATCTAATTTAAACAATTAAGGTGGGAGGTTTGGAAATCAGATGAAAAACTCATTCTTGAATTTTTTTGGGACCAACACATTCTAGTTCAGCAAGTCATCAGTTACGTAAACTTAACTTGTTGTAGCGGCCAACTTTAAGTAAGGTGTTATGTGTTATATGTGATACAGTCTAACTCTCAGAGATGATCCCAGAAAGATAATTTGTCTATCAGTTAATAATTAACACACCTCAGGGAAGCCATGAAGGCAGAGCATAAGTGGTTTTTGTGGATCACCTTTGGCCACATAATGAATTTTTATGTTTGAAGCTGTTCTTAGAAAGTGGTGAGTACCAAGCTCAGGGTTAAGAAGGCATGCTGGAGCTAAGAACAGAAAAAAAAGGAAAATAAAAGCTCTCTGATATGCTAAATAATTCACTGCATAAAATGAACAGTTCAATAAACTTAAGAGTTTACACAACTATTTAGATCTACTATATCATAATTTCCATACACACGGTCGAAACAAAATTTTGAAGGATATGACTAACACAAAAGATGGCTGATACATGTCCGATAGATAGATAGTTTATTTGAAAAACATTGCAACCAAAGGTTGAATTACGTATTCAGTTTACAAATTTAGGAAATATATAAAAAATGGTAACATACTTTTAAAATATCAAAAATTAGGTAACATAGATAAAGTCAGCTTATACAAAGCATGCGTAAATGATCAAAGATAAAACTATCACTGCACCTGATCGTATGAACCACAGGTAAATTAAAAGCGCCCTTTTTCCTTAAGTCCGCCCTAGATACATTCCTGGGCTGCAGGAGCTTATGCAGCTTGTGATTTGGTACAAGAATGTTAGAAAATAGCTTGTTGGCAATATTCTCAGGCCACTCATGCAGCAAGATAAGCCCAGTGCACGCTAGCGCCTCATCATATTATTTATCAGGGAAAATTATACGTAATGCGCGCTTCTGTCATCTTTCTAAATCAACTGATAGATATTGAGGTAGGCTGCTGTGAAAGAGCGCGCATGCAAATTCCATAACAGATCTAATACATGTAAGATAAAATAGAACGAGCTCCTTAGACTTAACCTTAACATACTCTCTCTCACTTCTTGTTTGCCCAGTGATAATTGTCAGAGATTTTAGAACTTTAACCCCAGTGAGACACCAATACAGACATTTCCCTGAATTTCATGGTTGAAAGGCAAGCAAACACACCTAACCCCCTCCCCACTCCCAGGGGAGATTTACTACCTAATTTTTATATGTCATACAATAGGCTAGATGATTGGGTTTTTTTTTTTTTTTTACCTCACTCTATCTTTAACCCAGTAATCCACTCCCCTTACTACCTGGATATTGACAGGAGTGATTTGCCAATCTATATGTTTGAAGATGTCATGAGCACCACAGAGCTCTTATTCAAGTGTCAAAAATTTGTAGGTTTGCAGTAGAAATAAACCTTGCTGATAAGAGGATATTATTCCAGGTCACACAGTTTTGTTAGAACAACTGTTAAGAACATTACATTATCATAAATCAATACAGTTACAGAGTGTATTACTTAGTTACAGGAACAAATTCAAGTTCAATTACCTCTTCCCTTGTTCATAAAAACAAAGACAAAGCCTGTCCATAAAAAATATGCTTTCCTCTTTAAAGGTGTGTGAACCCTCACTACACCAGAAATTTCAGTTTTTTGCAAAGTAAATCCTTAAAATTTCACATCTGTGATTTGAACCAAACTTGTGATCAGGTGCTCCTTTTCTTAATTTTTTTCAGCATGATAAGTGACAGATGACATCAGGTAACAGATGAAGAATAACAACCAGAAGTGATATATATGCAGACCTAGATGTCTTTTCTAATTGTGGAAATTTGTAATTGGTTATACAGAAAATTACAAAATAGACAAAGCAAGAGATAATCATTTTCTTTTCAACAAATTATAATCAGAAAAATCACAAAAACTTCTCGCTGTCGCAAATTCTGTTCTACTCAAGAAGCTCTACCTTGCAACATTATTGAATGGGTCTGAGGCTTGAAAGTCGTGATCTGGCCTGTTTTGGTGGGAAACGCATTCAGTCCACAGATTGTGGACTTCCACTAACAGCTAATCTAACTTGCATTAAGATTTCCTTCTGATTATCCCTCAGGCATGGCTGCATGTTCACAAACATTTCCTTAGAGTGAAAAATATCAATAAATACAGAAAAAGCATGTTCTTCAATTGTTGTACGACGTTTATGTTCAATCAATTAAACTTAATTAAGCGTATAATTTCTTTTCACTGGGGAAATTATCCAAGAAAAAAGGCAACAGTAACTGGGATTGTTCAAGGGTCGAGGTGGAATGGGAGGCGAAAGGAATAATTACGTTCTACATACATTTGAAAATGCATTGCGGATGAAGTACGCTAAAGTAATAACTCTCTAACTTACAAATATACACTACTAACTGACTAGGAAGCAAACGAAGGACAAATTCACTTTGGATGAGCGATACCGTGGTTTAGCTTGATTCAGATCACTTACGGGTGTCCCTTCGCTTTGCTCGAGGAGGGATTCCAAATCGACGTATTATCTGCCATAAGACTGCGAAAGATGCCAAAAGCCCATAAAATGAAGCAAGGCTGTATATATATAATGTCTCGATCAGTCTCCTCGTCATAAGTACAGGGTTCTCGCATAAAGCTGTTTGCCAACAAAAATCTATCTCTACACAGCTACTGTGATCTTCAATCAAATGTCACGTGATGTACTTCCTTACTGTGACCTCTCTCGCCGAGTGCATGGTCGGTTGATCATTTCAGAGAAATGACCTAATGGAAGAAACAAGTCAAACGTAGCAATCTTTTGAAGCTTCTTTTCGGCAATTTCTTTCATTGCAGCACACTTGGGAGGATAATTTGCTTAAACATTGTCAGGTGTCAAAGTATAGTTTACTTGATTGGATTGTCAACTGATCGTTTCGTTGCAATCTCAAAAAATGGGGAAATCTGCAAAACAATAAGGAAATTCTTAGTAAAATCATGAAAAAATCCCCTAAATTGCTCTTTCGAAATGCTAAGGGTTTCTTCTGATCTTGTTGTCCGCGAGAAGTCGGAATGGTTGCCTCTCAGTGACGTCACCCACTTCAACGTGACCTTCGGGTGGCGAGTTTAGAACGCTCTTCGGTCGGAATCAACACTAAATTCAATGACCCCAAAGATTAACATCACCTATCGGTTGTGGGGGGATTTCGGGAATTTTCGGGATATAAGCTTTGTCTGTTTGATTGCTTGTTTTTGTTTTTGTTTTTTTTTTTTTAAGTATAAAACCAGTATCATTCTTTTCTTACTTTTTTAAATCTAAATTGGAAATTGTTCTTTGTTTTGAAAGGCCACCCTTGATAAGGAAACGAAAATAACTCACTTCTCAAGGTAGGGTTAGGGTAAGTTACTGTCTCAAGCACAGGGAAAGGTGAACGACCACACGACAAATGCTGTTATGTCGCATCAAAATCAGCAACTGTTCCTTCAAAAGTTTTTCACGGGCAATTTTGCCTTGATGGTCCACCTTCTCAAAACTTACAATGAATAGAATTTATCATTGTAGGGGATTAGACGAAGATACTTATTCAGAGAGTTGCCTGAGGAAATTATATTCCTGCAAGTTTTTCCTTTTGGAGCTTTGTTTGGTCTTGTCTGTAATAAAACGCTTCTATTTACGAGCATGTACAAGCGAAAACGTCAAAGGAAAATTCACACAAACCCCTCTACTTGAGTCTTAATCATTTGAAATTTCTGAAAAGTAACCGAAAGAAAAAGACTTCCGTGTCATTCTCTCCCCACAGATGACAAATGATCCCAAGCCCGTAAATGATCCCGACTAAAAAATGAGGAATAGCATGGATGTTGAAATAGTGTGGATAGGGAATTGGCGTGAACAGTGGTTATCATGGCTCATAACTAGCATCTTTTCCACACTTTGTGCTGAATTTTTTTTTTATTAACTCTAACAACTGACAACTAAAACTGCTGAATTGACTTGCGGGCCAGAAGTTTTGTTTTCTTTGCAACCAGAATCCAATGACACAATATTCGCCTCGTATCTCTCCTCAGCTAAACATTTTGTTATTTTGCTGTTACAGTATCTTCAAATCAAATCAAATCTAATCAGTCCATTAACGCCATACGACTGATAACAACGGCAGCAACAATAACTTGATGTTTTAGATAATAAGATTCCGTCCAACATATACAGCGCTTCTTGCTTTTTCGTTGCCATGTGTCATCAGCTAAAGTTCCTAAAACTCCTCCYGGAGGCAACTGTTGCAAAAAACGCTGTCGCCTGAATAAACCTGTAACGCTCCACCTTCACCGCTCTGAAAGACACCGTGTGAGTAACAATCGAACTGCCTCCCAATTCTGAGGCAAATCTCTAGTTATTTTCCCCTCGCCGTATTTCTGCTTTAATTCCTAAACAACTGCTAGTTGGGAATTCTGCGATGCTGTTGGTTCCAGGCTATGGTAATGAAGCTCAGCTTCATGGCCCAGCAAGGCCATATCCCCACTCTGGGTACAATTTTTAATGAGGATGCTGAACAAAAGACTTTTA